CACTTTTCACTTTCATGCACAGGAGAAGGAAATGGCAACCCACTCCAGTGTTCTTGCCTGGAGAATCCCAGGGACGGGGGAGCCTGGTGGGCTGCCGTCTGTGGGGTCGCACCGAGTCGGACACAACTGAAGCGACTTAGCAGCAGCAGCAAGTAAAAGTTCAGACCAGATGACTTTGTTGGTATATTCTTCTAAACATTTAAGAACTAATACCAATTCTTCTCAAACTCTTAAAAAAAAACAGAAAAGAACACTTGTAAACATTCTACTAGGCCAGAATTACCGTGATACCAAGACCAGAAAAAATAGCACAAGAAAATTATAGGCCAGTATCCCAGACGAAAATACAAGCAAAAATCCTCTAATAACTCAACAATATTCAACATTCAACCACATTAATGGGAACATAGAGCATGATCAAGTGGGATTTATTTCAGGGATACAAAAAGCATGGCTCAACACCCACAAATCAATGTGATACACCACGTTAACAGAATCCAAGATAAATATGACCATCTCAGTAATGCAGAAAACAGTACTGGACAAAATTCAACAACCATTCATAATAGAAACTCTCAATTAACTGGATATAGAGTGACTGAAACTCAATATAATAAAAGCTGTGTGTGGCAAGCGCACAGCTAAGATCACACTCAATGGCGAAAGTTTAAAGTTTATTTTCCAAGATCAAGAATAAAACGAGGACACCCACTCTGATCAGTTTTATTCAGTCAAGTACTGGAAATCCTAACCAGGCCATCACACAAGGAAACAGAAATAAAAAGCATCCAAATCAGCTTAGAAAAAGTAAAACTGTTTTTATTTGCAGATGCCATGCCACAAAGAACTTTCTTGGTGGCTCAGACAAACTCTTGCAATGACGGAGACCTGGGTCCAATCCCTGGGTCGGAAAGATCCCCTGTAGAAGAGAATGTCAATCCACTCCAGTATTCTTGCCTGCAGAATTCCATGGCAGAGGGGCCTGGCAGGCTATAGTCCACGGGGTGGCAAAGAGTCGGACATGACTGAGCAACTAACACACATGCCAATATATATAGAAAACTCCAAAAACTACACCAAAAAATGTTAGACAAATTAAGTAAAGTTGTAGGATATAAAATATACAAAATCAGTTATTATACACACACACACACACAAAACCAGAAGCAAACCGAATCATTCACTCAACATTCAAAGTATAGTAGATAAGAATTTAAAACCACCCTTGGCACTGCAGAGCAAGGACCATAAGGAAATGAGGAAAGAAACACTGTATGTCAGTCACTCTGACTCTCTGCAACTCCATGGACTGTAGCTTGCCAGCCTCCTCTGTCCATGGAATTTTCCAGGCAAGAATACTTGAGTGGATTGCCATTTCCTCCTCCAGGGCATCTTCCCAACCCAGGGATCAAACCCAGGTCTCCTGCACTGCAGGCAGATTCTTTACTTTCTGAGCCAGCAGGGAAGCCCCATAGTGGGCTTTTAAAGAAGCACTAAAGTAATGAAAAGCAAAACTTATTCCTCTACCTCTGCATAAGGATTTAACTAGTAAACATCAACAAAGGGAAGGGAAGGGAAGGGAAGTTGCTCAGTCGTGTCCAACCCTTTGCGACCCCATGGACTGAAGCCTACCAGGCTCCTCCGTCCACGGAATTTTCCAGGCAAGAGTACTGGAGTGGGATGCCTTTTCCTTCTCCATAACAAAGGGAAGTTATTAGTAAATATCTCAAAATCAAATGAGCTGCTTACAAACAGTTTATTAGAATAAACTCACTGGACTTCCCTGGTGATGCAGTGGATAAGAACTCACCTGCCAATGCAGGGGACATGGGTTTGATCCTGTTCTTGGAAGATTCCACATGCCGTGAAGCAACGATGCCCGTGTGCCACAGCTGCTGAGCCCGTGCTCCAGAGCCCACAAGCCACAACTACTGAGTCTGCGTGATGCAATTACTGCGGCCTGCGCTCCGCAACAAAGAGCAGCCCCTGCTCACTGCAGTTAGAGGAAGCCGGCACAAAGCAACGAAGACCCAACACAGCCAAAAACAAAATAAATAAATAAATATATTTTTTAAAAAGAACAAACTCATCTATGTTGCAAAATGGTGAGAAGAGGTGACAAGCCTCACAAGCCTGGTGATGTCTGATTGCCCAAGAAAAGAAACTTAGTTCAACTTTAAAATTACAAAAATTACAAATTTCAACTTTTACAAAGGTACAGCTTTTGAGAAATGGGTACAACCTTATCTAGAGAGTAAAAATAACATCATAGCTGGCTTAAAAGCAATCATCAATTAAGAAGTCATCCGAGCTCAACAATAACGTTATCTTAATATCAACAATAAGCATATCAACTCCTAGTTTTACACTGGACTGATCTATTAGCCAAAAGAAGCAATAACAAGAACTATTTCTCCTTGTGTAAGCTTACATCAATTACTGATAGTTAACAGCAAATAAACACAATTCAACATCAAAATACATACTAAGTACACTGTCAGCCCGACACAGGAACGCACGCAAACAAAGATTTCTTAAAGAATAAAAGGAACTCAGCAAATACCAAACCCACTTGTTTACCAAAAATCCATTACCTCTAGCGTAACTAGTATTAGAGGCACTGCCTGCCCAGTGGTGACTGTTAAACAGCTGAGGTACCCCGACAATGCAAAGGTAGCATCCTCATTTGTTCTCTAAGTAAGGACTGGTATGAATAGCCACACGAGGCTACTGTCTCTAACCTTCAATCAGTGCAACTGACCTTCCCATGAAGAGACAGGTATAACAAAATATGATGAGATGATCCTATGGAGTTTTAATTAATTAACCCAAAGACCCTAATTAAACCAAGGGATAACAAAATTTTCATATAGGTTGATGGTTTTGCTTGGGGTGACCTTGGAGAACAGACCTGAGTGATTAAAATCTAGACTTACTAGTCAAAATATATTATTGATATTTTTTATTTATATATATATATTATTTGCATATTTATTGATATCATTTTTTAAAGTTTTTAATAAATTTAAAGATAGGCTACATTCAAGCAATGAGTGACAGTTTTAATTAAAACAGTAATTAATGTAAAAACTGACATATAAAACATGGGTTTTAAGAGCAGTAATTATAGGGAAAGCATTTCAAAATGAAGGTTAAAATTCAGGATTTTTTTTTAATACAGAACTTAAAACATGCAAGACTACTACTCTTTAGCAGCATGTCTCCACAAAAATGAACTTTTGAGCAATCAAAACCAATATATGGTGTCCCTGGGTAGCTCAGTTGGTAAAGAATCCACCTGCGATGCTGGAGGCCCCAGTTCAATTCCTGGGTCAGGAAGTTCCCCTGGAGAAGGGAGAGGCTGCCCACTCCAGTATTCTTGACCTTGGCTCAGATGGTAAAGAATCTGCCTGCAGTGTGGGAGACCTGGTTTCGATCCCTGGGTTGGGAAGATGCCCTGGAGGAGGGAATGGCAACATGCTTCAGTGTTCTGGACTGACAGTCCCCATGGACAGAAGAGCCTGGTGGGCTACAGTCCATGGGGTCGCAAAGAGTCAGACACGACTGAATAACCAAGCACAGCACAACCAGTGTACAGAGAAGGTCAAATCAAGACCATACACATTATGCTATTTTCAGCAAAAGTAGAGGTGCAGCTTACCCTGAAAGAAAAACAAAAGAGACCGACACAAAGCTCTCCATTTTTCAAGGTCTGGAAATTTTAACATGGTGATTTAAGGCATGTTTAAGAAGATACAAGTTCATGTGGTAACCAAACTGGACTTCACAAAGTATCTGAATAGAATACAAGCATAAATACAGAATTTTGGATGGCAGCGATGTTCAGTTAAATTCTATTCACCCTTACCAGCCAATTCATATTAGTGAGGGAAATTAATTTTTATTATGCAAAGCAGGTCACACACAGAGGAAGAAATATTTTTCCATCATAACTTAATTATAGACAGTGAAATAAGATAAATTCCTTCAAGTTCTAATGTTTAAAAGAATGAATATCTTCACTATTTATTAAATCTATAGCTATAGCCTTTACAGTCTTGATTTATAATATAAATCACATAGTGCATAATCATATAGTCGCCAATAAACTCTTCAAAAGTGACTGCAACTTTAAAATTATTGGAAAAGCAACCCTAACTAGTGGAGATCGATCCCAAGAAAGAACTAGAAAAAGGAGTTCTACATTCTGATCTAAACTCCACCAGTTATTAGCTCTGAGACTTGCTTACCTTTGATAAACGTTCAAAAGGTGTAGAGAAAAAATAAGAAAGAAAAAGGTGACTTCAGATTTTAGGGACAGGAAGAATGGAGTAAAAGATGATGCCCTGATAGGAAACCATATTATAATGGGCAGCATCTGGAAAGGCTAATTCTTTGGGGGAGTAAAGGATTTTAAATTACGTCAAGTTTAGGTTCGCTGGCAGCATAAGTCAACGCACTAAAAATTAAGGACAAATTGAGGTTGTGCCAACAGGTAAGTTCTCTGTGACAGTGAAGATAATTGGAGAATTGGACTTTGGTTGATATCAGCATTCTTCAATGGAACTTTTTGAGACGATGGAAATGTGCTGTATCTGCATTTTCCAGTATGGTAGCCACTAGCCGCAAGTAACTGCTGGTACTACTGAGGAAGTAAATTTTGATTTTAATTAATCATACAATAAAATCATACAATAGAGTATTATTTAGCAATAAATGAGCTATCAAGCCATGGAGAGACAGACACACAAGAACCTTAAACATACATTGTTAAGTAAAGGACGACAATCTCACCCATAGAACTGTACAACAGAGAGTCAACTGTAACATAAGCTATGGGCTTCAGTTGATAATTTGTCAGCACTGGTGTATCAGTGATAACAAACACACCAAACTCAAGTAAGATGAAGTAACTGTGTAACTGTGGGGGAAGGCATACATGGAAACTCTAAATTTTCAGGGCAATTTTTCTGTAAACCCAAAACTGCTCTATAAAGTAGTTTCTGAGAGCAGCTCCTCTCAGCTCCAAGTCCCCATGGCTGCTGCCACTGCCATGGCAGCCATCGCTGACTCTGCACCAGGCCGCCGGGCCATGGCCACAGCCACCGCCACCAGCACCGCCTTGGACCCACCCGCTGCTGAGGCTGCTCCTGCAGCAGCGGCCATCTTGTTGGGCTGCCTCCTTTTCCTGCTCCATCCTGTTGCTCGTTGACCTCATCCCCTTCCTCTCCCTTGGGTTCCTGATACCATTCACTGATCCAAAAATTGATCACTGGAACAAGTTACCCTAGGGATAGCAGTGCAATCCTATTCTAGAGTTCATACCGACAATGTATTTGTCATAAATGATTTACCATCTCAGTGCTGGATCGGGACATCCCAATAGTGTACTCACTATTAAAGATCGTTTGTTCAGCAATTAAAAGTTCTACGTGATCTGAGCTCAGACCAGAGTAATCCAGGCCAGTTTCTATCTACTATATATTTTTCCCAGTGTGAAAGGACATGAGAAATAAGGTCTACATTTAAAAAGTGTCTTAAAACCAATTAATGATATAATCTTAATTTAATTAATATATACAAAACCTTACCCAAGAACAGAGTTTGTTAGAGCACAGCTGGGTAACTACACAAAGTTTAAACCTTTAAGCCCAGAGGTTCAAATCCTCTCCCTAACAAAATGTTCATAATTTTGTTTATAATGAGTTTATAAATGTTTTATTTGTAATGAGTATTACTTCTTAATACTTGTTATCCCTATTCTTCTAGCCATGGGATTTCTCACATTAATCGAATGAAAAGTTCTAGGCTACCTGCAACTTTGAAAAGGACCAAATAACATTGTACCATATGGCCTATTACAACCTACTGCTGATGATTATTCATTAAAGGATCACCATGACCAGCTACATCTTCCATTTCCATATTTATCATCACACCCACTTTAGCCCTAATCTTAGCTCTAACCATAAGCATCCCCTGACCTGTACCTCGTGAAAGTAGTGTCAGTCGCTCAGTTGTGTCCAACTCTTTGTGACCTCATGACTGTAGCCCACCAGGCTCCTCTGTCCATGGAATTCTCCAGGCAAGAATACTGGAGTGGGCAGCCTGTACCTTACCCCCTCATTAACAAAAACTTAGAGAAGTATTACTGATATTTAGACCAGATACGTCAAGCCTAACTGTCTATTTTATCCTATGATCCAGATGAGCTTCCAATTCAAGATGTGCACTAATGGAGCTCTATGAGCAACAGCACCAATACTTTCAGGTGAAGTAATGCCAGCGACTCTTCTTCTATCAGTCCTTTTAATAAATGTATCCTGGGACTTCCCTGGTGGTTCAGTGGTTAAGAATCCACCTGCCAATGCAGAGGACATGGACTAGATCCCTGGTCCAGGAGGATCCACATACTGCAGAGCAACTAAGCCTGTGCGCCACAACTGCGGAAGTCTGCGTGCTCCAGGGGCTGTGCTCCACAACAAGAGAAGCCACCAGAAAGAGAAGCCCAAACGCCACGATGAAGAGTGGCTGCCATCCGCTGCAACTAGAGAAAGCCCTCATGCAGCAATGTACCCAGCACAGCCAAAGATAACGAGATAATATTAATGGATCCTTTACTCTCTCAACCCTCCTCACAAGAACATTTACGAATAATCTTCCCATCATGACCCCTAGCCATAATATGACTTCTCTCTATTCTAGCAGAAACTAATTGAACCCCCTTCAGCCTTCAAACAGAAGGAGAATCTGAAGCTGTTATTGGGCTCCAACACAGAATACACAGCAGGCCCATTCACTATATTTTTCTTCACAGAATATGCCAACATCATCATAAAAAAATTTTCAAAATAATCATTTTTCTAGGAGCCCCCACACACTACAACTATATACAACCAACTTTATTATCAAAATACTATTGTTTACAGTTTTTCCACTGTTCTAGTTTTTCCAGTGTAAAAACAGTTTTACACTGTTTACAGTGAAGTCAAGCATCCTATCCTTGAGTTTCAAAGAATAGCAAGGAGAGATAAGAAAGTCTTTAAGCGAGCAATGCAAAGAAATAGAGGAAAGCAATAGAATGGGAAAGACTAGAGCTCTCTTAAAGAAAATTAAGAGATACCAAGGGAACAGTTAATGCAAAGATGGGCACAATAAAGGAGAGAAACGGTATGGACCTAATAGAAGCAGAAGATATTAAGAAGAGGTGGCAAGAATATACAGAAGAATTTCACAAAAAAGATCTCAATGACCCAGATAACCACAATGGTGTGATCACTCACCCAGAGCCAGATATCCTGGAGTGTGAAGTCAAGAGGGTCTTAGGAAGCATCACTATGAACAAAGCTAGTAGAGGTGATGGAATTCCACCTGAGCTATTTCAAATCCTTAAAGATGATGCTGTTAAAGTGCTGCACTCAATATGTCAGCAAATTTGGAAAAATCAGCAGTGGCCACAGGACTGGAAAAGATCAGTTTTCATTCCAATCCCAAAGAAGGGCAATGCCAAAGAATGTTCAAACTACCGCACAACTGTACTCATTTCACATGCTAGCAAGATCATGCTCAAATTCCTCCAAGCTAGGCTTCAACAGTATGTGAACCAAGAACTGGACATCCAGATATACAAGACGGTTTTAGAAAAGGCAGAGGAACCAGAGATCAAATTACCAACATCCATTGGATCATAGAAAAAGCAAAAGAATTCCAGAAAAACATCTATTTCTGCTTCACTGACCACACTAAAGCCTTTGACTATGTGGATCACAACAAACTGTGGAGAATTCTTCAAGAGATGAGAATACCAGACCACCTTACCTGCCTCCTGAGAAACCTGTATGCAGGTCAAGAACCAACAGTTAGAACCAGGCATGCAACAACGGACTGGTTCCAAATTGGGAAAGGAATACGTCAAGGCTGTATATTATCACTCTGCTTATTGAACTTATATGCAGAGTACATCATGCAAAATGCCAGGCTGGATGAAACACAAGCTGGAATCAAGATTGCTGGGAGAAATATCAGTAACCTCAGATAATGCAGATAACACCACCTTTATGGCAGAAAGTGAAGACGAACTAAAGAACCTCTTGATGAAGGTCAAAGAGGAGAGTGAAAAAGCTGGCTTAAAACTCAACATTCAGGACTTCCCTCGTGGTCCAGTGGCTAAGACTCTGTGGTCTCAATGCAGGGGGCCTGGGTTTGATCCCTGGACAGGGACTTAGATCCCACATGCCACAACTAAGACCTGGCACAGCCAAATAAATAAATAAATTTTCAAAAAGAATAAAAACATTCAAAAAACTAAGATCGTGGAATCCAATCCCATCACTTCACGGCAAATAGGGAAACAATGGAAACAGTGACAGACTTTATTTTACTGGACTCCAAAATCACTGCAGACAGTGACTGCAGCCATGAAATTAAAAGATGTTTGCTCCTTGGAAGAAAAGCTATGACAAACCTAGACAGTGTATTAAAGAGCAGAGACATTACTTTGCTGACAAAGGTCTGTCTAATCAAAGCTAAGGTTTTTCCAGTGGTCATGTATGTATTTAAGGTGAGAGTTGGACCATAAAGAAGGCTGAGCACCAAAGAATTGATGCCTTTGAACTGTGGTGTTGGAGAATCCCTTGGACTGCAAGGAGATCAAACAGTCAATCCTAAAGGAAATCAACACTGAATATCACTGGAAGGACTGATGCGGAAGCTGAAGTTCCAATACTTTGGCCACTGGATGCAAAGAACTGACTCATTTGAAAAGACCCTGATGCTAGGAAAATCTAAAGACAAGAAAGAAAAGAGTATGACAGAGGATGAGCTGGTTGGATGGCAACACCAACTCAGTGGGCATGAGTTTGATTAAGCTCTGGGAGATGGTAAAGGACAGGGAAGCCTGGCATGCTGCAATCCACGGGGTTGCAAAGAGTCGGACACAACTGACCAACTGAACAACAACAGTCGTTGATTCTGGTATATGATCAACTTAGACATCTGGTTTGAAAAAATTTCTTACCAGGAACACTAGCCCTGTGCATGTGACACGTCTCACTACCTATCATAACATCAAGCATCCCCCTACAATGTAAAGAGTATGTCTGACACAAGTTACTTTGACAGAGTAAATAACAGAGGTTTAAACTATCTTTCTAGAATCACAGGAATTGAACCTATCCTCAAGAATTCAAAATTCTTCCTGTTACTGCATAACTACATTCTGTAGTAAGGTCAGCTGAATAAGGTAGTCGGCCCATACCCCAATAATGTTGTTCTATATCCTTCCCATACTAGTAAATCCTATCATCTTTATCATTATTGTAACCATTATATCAGGAACCATAATTGTAATAACTAGTTCACACCAATTGCTTATCTGAATCGGATTTGAAATAAACACAGTTGCCATTATTCCCATCACAATAAACAAGTTTAATCCACGAGCCATAGGAGCATCCACTAAATATTTTCTGACACAAGCTACCACATCAATATTATTTGTAATAGCTGCTCCTGTTAATCCATTATATTCCGGCCAGTGAACTATAAAAATTCTTTAACCCAACAACATTAACAGTCATGGCAAAAGCTCTAATCACAAAACTAGGACTCTCTCCATTCCATATCTGAGTTCTCATTAATAGCAGACAATTTTATTAACAGGACACAAACTCACACCAGTATTCACTAAATTTTGCCATCCATTAAACTTAATACTATTAATATTTACATCCATACTATTAACTGGGAGATGAGGCAGTCTAAAGCAAGTCAAACTATGAAAAATGATAGCTTACTCATCAATTGCCCATATAGGATGAATTACAGCCATTATATTGTATAATCCAACTATAACAATCCTACTAATTTATATTATAATAACACTTACCATATTTATATTATTCATTTGTAGCTCAGTCACCACACTATCACCATCACATTCAAGAAATAAAATGCCCACTATTACAACCCTTATTCTCACCACCCTACTACATATATATATGTGTATGTAAATATACATATGAGATATATATGTGTGTGTGGGTGTGTATATGTGTATATATATATCTTTCTCAAACAGAGGCCTGCCTTGAGTCTCTGCTTAGGAGTTAGTAACAGTCCCTCAACTGAATTATAAGACCTGAGATAGTTCATAAAGTCCCTTGACTAAAGAGGGGGTCAGAATTCTGAAGAAAATCTTGTGGTAACATTACA